AGAAGAAGAAGAAGAAGAAGAAGAAGAAGAAGAAGAAGAAGAAGAAGAAGAAGAAGAAGAAGAAGAAGAAGAAGAAGAAGAAGAAGAAGAAGAAGAAGAAGAAGAAGAAGAAGAAGAAAACACCTAATAGAAGGGAAAGTTCAGGAATTAGTTCAGGGATAGTGGAATCCTTGGTGGTCTCTGAGCTTGGCAGATGTTTTTTTTTCTTTGCAGATGATTCATTGCCAAACTAACCAACCTTCTAAGACTGATGATGTTACCTCGCTGGGCAATGAAACATCTGAAAATGATGCAACCAAGGACCCCACAGTCCTCCTCTCCTCTCTCCCCCTCTTATCTGCAACCCCCCCTCTCTTCTAGCACCGAAGATGTTCCCTAGTTTTGTCATGAAAGGTTTGCAAGGACACCCCCAAACTCAGAATATCAGGGACCCCACAGTCTTCCTCCACCTCCTTTTTCTGCAAACCACTCTCACTTTTTGTGAGAAAAGGCCAGTAGACACCAGAATTTTCAATGCTGAATTTATTGAGGAAGGCCCCTTTCTGGAGCGAGGACTTTATCCGGCGTGAGAAGCGGGGTCAGCCGTCAGGGAGGCCAAAGAGGAATGGGCCACACAGGAGGAAGACGTTCTTTGGCCCGGTTGGACGTGAGGATGGAAGGCTGGTGAGGGGCTGGCTCCTCCTCCATCGGGTCTTGGGGCTCAGAGCGGTCCTGAGGAGAGAGAAAAGGGGCGCTGAGAAGGAGGAAGCATCTCGGCTGGAACGGAGCTGCGTCTTCCTGGTCAGCAGAAGGTGCCACGGAATGGATGAATGCAATGGGCCAGAGTCCCAGGAGGGAGGGGCCACCCCCCAAAGAGTAAGTGGCAGCAGATAGTCTGAGAGAAAGAGGGCGAAGGCAGCCTCTCCTCAATAGTTCCTTGGTTTTAGATAACAGGTGGCTTCAACGTGGCAAGATTCTGTCTCTAGATGCAGAACAGGAAAGGAATGTGCTTGGGAGAATTATTGCCTGTCCGTCTGGGGTTTTGGAGCCTGAGTATCCCCTTCTGACTTGGAGGAAAGTAATAGGGCCCTGTGGGCCCCTCTGGTTCCTTCACTCTCCTGAATGCTGGAGTCACACCTGGGGCTTCTTCGTTGCTTTCTATACTTTTATTCGGCAGGGGACAAGTCCAGGAGGGAGCGACATACCAGAAGAGGGAGAGACAGTGGATAGTCTGTGTGAGAGAAAGAGGGCGGGGACAGCCTCTCTTGAATAGTTCCCAGAGGATATCGTGCATTCGGATAGCGGAGTCTTTAATCTGGCAATATTCTGTCTATAGGTGCGAAACAACACTCATCCTGGAAGAATCATCCTGTGTTATTCTTGGCTTGGGGCCTGAGACGGGGTGGACTAAGGAATTCTGGGAGTTCACACATGATGTGATGGAATATAGCAAGGAGCGGGGAATCATAAGAGGGAAGAATGCATTGCAGAGGAGTAAGAGCCAACAGATAGCGTGTGCGAGAGAAAGAGTGAAAGAAAGAGTGTTCTCTATTGCTACATTAACATTCTTGTAACCCCTCGTCCTGATTGGCCAGAACGCACGGCGCTCGGATTGGCTGAGCCAGCCGCAGTGATTGGCCCATTGAAAAATTGCCCGCGATTGGAGGAAACCGATCGCGGGGGATTCAAAGCGGTGTCATTGGCCGCGGCTGGCAAGGCAAGTTCAATATAAGCCGCCACCGATCCGAGGGAGAGCCGAGCCGATCTCAGAACTAAATAAAGAGCTTGAAAAGAGTCACTGAGTCTCGCGTCTCCTTCTTGCGATCGTCGAACGTGACAAAGAGGATGAAGACAGCCCCTCCTCAATAGTTCTCAGAGTATATCCTTGGTGTAGATAGCAGGTTGCTTTAGGGTGGCAAGATTCTGTCTCTTGGTGCAGAACAAGAAAGAAATTGAATTGGAAGAATCACGGCATGTTTTTCTGGTCTCTGAGAGCCCGAGAGTGTCCTTCTGGTTTTGAGGAACGAAATAGGCCCCTTGGGCCCCCTCCCCCCATTCCTCTGGGCCTTCCTGGATATCAGAGCCACACCTGGGATGAGGTTTCATCATTCATTCCTATGTCCTTTGCTCGCCAGGAGACCAGGCAGAAGTTCCCCCTAGGCCTCTGCAGCTCTTTGAGTCCTTGGACTGAGAAACAGCTTCCTGTTCTGGGCCCCAAGTGTCTTCACTGCAGAGGCCCTGCCTTGAGTTAGGGACCCTTCCAGAGGGTTATCTGGGTCCTGGAAGGCAGAAGGGAAGGAGGGGAGGGGGTGTCAAGACTCCTTCTCATTCCAATGCAGGAAGAAAACAGGTGAAGGATGCCCTTCATGTTTCCTGGGACATTCCCTGGGTAGCTGGAGCGGTTGCCCTGCGGGAGGAGCAAGGCCTGGCCGAGCAGGAAGGTTTCCCCTCTGAGGGAGGGAAGCCGCTCAGAAACGTGTAATATCAGAATAAAGGAAGGAGAACCTGCTGTGTGAGCTGGGAGTGTTTGCGGATAGGATGAACTCCTGGGAAAGGCCGTGGCTGCCAGTTCTTTTGTGGGCTGGAGGCGGGCTCTGCCAAACCCCAGCATCGGATGTTGCCAGGAAGGAAACCCCACAATGGAGGAAGAGGGAACTTCGGGGTTCACGAAAGGCTTCAGAACGAGACGGGAAAGAAAGGATAGGACAGAGGAAGAAAGAGAAAAAAAGAAGGAAGGAAAGAAAGAAAGAAAGAAAGAAAGAAAGAAAGAAGGAAGGAAGGAAGGAAGGAAGGAAGGAAGGAAGGAAGGAAGGAAGGAAAGAAAGAAAGAAAGAAAGAAAAAAAGAAAGAAAGAAAGAAAGAAAGAAAGAAAGATGAGCAAGAAAGAAAGGAAGGAAGGAAAGAATGGAAGGAAGGAAGATAGGAAGGAAGAAGGGAAGGAAGGAAAGAAAGAAAGAGTAGGAAAGGATCAAAGGAAGGAAGGGAATAAGGAAAGAGAAAAAGGAATGAAAGGAAGAAAAGAATGAAAAAGAAAGAGAAAAGGAAAGAACAGAAAGAAGAAAGCAAGCAAGGAAGGAAACGAGGAATGAAAGGAAGGCAGGAAGGAAGGAAAGAGAGAGAGAGAGAGAGAGAGAGTGAGTCTCGCAGTCCCCTCACCTGGGCTGAAACACTCCCTGGCGCATCCGACTGGGCAGCATTTCTTATTCCCTTCGCATTCAGAGTCGCAGGCACAGTCTTGGTTACATGGGTGGTCAGGATCAATTTTGACCTTGGGACACTCGCCCGGCTTGACTGGAAAAACAGAACATGAACTCTGAGGTTGGCCCAGAAGGATGGACAGTGCTGCTCAACAGCCCCTCTGCCAGCTTCTCTGCTAAAAGTTAATGGCTTGGTGTTGGACACCCCCCACCCTTGTGGCAAATGTGGTGCCACTATGCAAACAATTAAGCACATTGCGCAAGACAGCCCACAGTAGGGACTCTCTGGTTCCCTAGAAGATCTGCATGAAGCGACGCCAGAGGCCATCACCCAAAGAGCTGGACTGAACGTCCAGTCATGAGGCCACTGCTTTACCCCCGTGTAATTTTGTGGGGTGTGCGTGTATGTTTACTTCTCTTTGTCACGTCTTCATCATATGAAAACTAAATGATTGCATGTTATACGTGACTGTAGTGTGTGTGTGTGCATGTAGGAGCCCTTGCTCCTTCGTCCCAGATAATGGACCCCAATCTGGACGTGGTAGGCACACTTTCCTTTCCCTGAGTGCACCTCATTTTCAGTCTTTTGCCTTCAAACTGATGGGAGATCCCTGACTGCTTGTATGATCAGCTGGGCAGGGGCACCTGCAAGGCCTGGTCAAGAAAGCCCAAAGGTGCTGGGAGAAGGTGGAGCTACGTCGCTGCGATACAGCTGCAATCTCGGGGCTCCGAGATCGCAGCTGATATCTTCGCCCCTGGTCAGTCCCAACGGACCTAAACCATCCCGTAGAGACGGTGATAGTAAGGGGTGCATTCTGTTGATCCCAGGGACATTGCAAAGTCCCTGGTTGATCCAGAAGAAGCTCTTTTACCATCGGCGGAGAGGCAGCCATCAAGCTGCTGAAGCTGGGACAGCTCCGGAAGGAAGAGACTTATGTGTTTTTGTTTGTTGTTAAAGTCAATAAAACTTTTTTTCAAAAAAAAAAGAAGAAACCCCAAAGGTGCTTTTTCAGGAGGCAATTGGACATCTTTTTTTTTCTTTTGAAGACATTTCACTCCTCACCCGAGAAGCTTCTTCAGCTCAGACAGGATGGTGGGGAAGGGAAGGATTTGTGCTCCTTGCAGACAGCTGGTCATTTGCATCCTTTTAGAGGGTCGTTGAGGCCACTTGGAGGTTTAATCTGTGTCCTCTGAGAACCTCCATAGACACGGTCAAGAAAGCCAACAGGCTGAACTTCAGTGAAACTCCATCTTGGTTATTTTTTTCCCCCTCCCACCATGCTTTCAGGGAATTGTGCAGCAGGTGTCCATGGGAAATAAGGGACTCTGACATGAATTTTTAGTTTTATTTAAACAAATGCATCTTATATCAATATTTACAACAGACAAGATAGGCTAACAGGAACATCATGAGGTATATCAACCAAGGAAAATGTTAAGGTATTGAAGAAGATTTCAGAGCTTCTCTAAGGCTGATGCAATGAGGATGAATCAGGATGGTTATTGCTGCTTTAAGACTGAGGATGGGTCCCACAGGGTTTTACCACTTTAAGAAACTGTATATACATAGACAGCCATGAGAGGGCGACTCTCTCTCTCTCTCTCTCTCTCTCTCTCTCCTTGTGTTCTGTCTCCATTATAGTTCTCTATGAAGAGTAAAGATTGATTGCTTGCCTGGTATGTGTCACACTGCAAACACTCTGACAGAAAATCATCGTGAGGTAAATTACAGAGCACACAGGAGAAAAAAAGGGGGGGGAACATCCCCCTCCACACCCACAGCAAACAGTTGCATCACAGATTGCCTCATGACAGAGCCAGTGCTCTTCAACTAGTTAACCACAACGGTGTGCTGTGATGCATTGTACAATTCCACTCTTCCAACTGCTAAGTTTAAATATCTTAACACATGTCCCACAGACACCCCATATTTTCTATAAACCTGCTTTGCTAGACCTGAAAAGTTGACCTGCATCGTGAAAGCCACCCTGAACTGGGGACCACCAGACCATCTACATACACACAGCAGTTTCTCCTCTCAGTCTTTAGACATTGTCTGAAGAACCCAGATTGGCTGCATCCTTGCAAAGAAAGGAAGAGGCATTTGTTGGTCTGAGCTCCGATCTTGGCAATTCGGTTGCAAACGTTTCATCACCATTCAAGGAGACATGGTCAGCGTGCTTGGAGTTGGGTTCGTCTGTCCGAATGCCAGCCTTTAAATACTTTTCATGTGATACAAATTAGCATTAGTGTTGTTTGTTCACATACTTCTGAAGTAAGGAATGTGCATCACATAAAATTTGCATCACACAAAAAGGTATTTAAGGCTGGCATCCTGACAGAGAAACCACAATTCAAAGCACACTGATGTCTCCTCGAATGGTGACAAAACGTTTGCAACCAAATTGCCAAGATTGGAGTGCAAACCAACAGCCCAACTACCAACCTGAGTTACTAATATTCAAAGACATTTCATATGACAAAGTTACTGGCTTCACGTCCTACCGCCTGGTTGAGAAGTGTACACTAAATATGAACTTCACATTCTAGGAAGTATGTTGGGCTCTTTCTTAATCAGTTTCCTTTGCTACCATCTAGTTCTTGTGCTTTGTTCCTGCTCAAGACAGATAATGTGCTTGCTATTAAAAAAATAGTTGCATTGTGAAGCAACCAAAGGTTTCATGATTTCCATCCAGGTGGCCATTAAGCAAATTTGAAATCTGCCTTCTCTGAAATTAACGGAATAACAAATTGGAAGGGAACTTGTAAGCCATCTAGTCCAAACCTCCACCAAAGCAGGAGACCTTACTACACCATTTCTGACAGATGGCAGTCCAGTCTCTTCTTGAAAGCTTCCACGGATGAAGCTCCCACAACTTTTGAAAGCAACTTCTGTTCCATTGGTGGATTGTTCTCACTGTCAGAAAGTTTCTCCTTATCTCTAGGTTGAATCTCTTCTTGTTCAGTTTCCATCCATTGTTCCTTGTCTGGCCTTCAGGTGCCTTGGAGAATAGCTTGACCCCCTCCTCAAATATTGGAAGACTGCTATCCTGTCTCCCCTGGTCCTTCTCTTCATTAGACTAGCCATGCCCAGAGTTCGTGCAACCATTCTTCATATGTTTTAGCCTCCAGTCCCCTAATCATCTTTGTTGCTCTAATGGATTTAGTTAATTAATGGGATTCTGCCCACCCAGAGTGTATGCAATGGCTAGACCCTACCTTCTGCAAAGAAAGATGAATAACCTGGCTTTGGGTGGACCAATCGCAATCCCGTGTTAGTCAAACTAAAAGTATTCTTAGTGCGTTTCAAAGTCCTGGATTGAGCAGAAGTGTGCGAGACACCCTCAGGCTGTGGTGCTTACCTTTTGGGGGACAAAGTTGTTTGGTGGTCTTTGCTGTTGCCAGTTGAGTTGAAAGGATGAGGAGACCAGCTAGGAAGAGAAGAACCCAAGGTTTCATGATGCACTTCTAGTCCAACTTGCAGCAAGAATTCTTTGTCTCTGCTGTGTATTTCTAAACGCACTTGGACTGGGGTTGTTCTGTAGGGTGGGTCAGGTGATGCAACATCCTAAGATGGATTGCTGACATGTAGTGTGCAAGAAAGGAGAGTATCCAGAAGAGGAAATCTTTGACTGAAACCAAGTAGAACTTGCTGTTAGTCCATCTGGTCTTGGTCAATCTCTTGACCTTCCTTGTTCTGTGTCTTGCACTGGTCTGGGTTTTCCATGCTCTGCATGTCAAAGTTATCCACCCCAAGGAGATGTAAGACAGAGGGGGAAATTTACAGTTACTGCAACAGTGGTTGAAGCCCCGACACTACTGGATCATGGCTGCTTGGTGCTGGTCTTCAGCACCAGTTGAGTTGTGCCCCAAATGAAGTGGGGATGAGGTGGCCTCCAACTCTGGAGCACTACACTCTTTCTGGGCCAAAGATCATCCTCAGATATTTTGTTCTAAAGGAATAGAAAATAGAATAGGATAGAATAGAATAGAAATGAATAGAAAATAGAATATAATAGAATAGAACAGAGATGAATAGAATAGAATAGACTAGAATAGAGATGAATAGAATAGAATAGAATAGAACAGAGATGAACAGAAAATAGAATAGAATAGAATAGAACAGAGATGAATAGAATAGAATAGAATAGAATAGAATAGAATAGAATAGAATAGAAATATTGGAATGTAGAATAGAATAGAATAGAATAGAATAGAATAGAAATATTGGAATGTAGAATAGAATAGAATAGAATAGAGATGAATAGAATAGAATAACAGAGGTAGAAGGGACCTTGAAGGTCTTCTAGTCCAACCCCCTGCCCAGGCAGGAAACCCTACACCTCTTCAGACAAATGGTTATCCAATATCTTTTTAAAAACTTCCAGTGTTGGAGCATTCGCAACTTCCCTGAGGCAAGGTGTTCCACTGATCAATCGTTTTCACTGTCAGGAAATTCTTCCTTAGTTCCAGGTTGCGTCTCTCCTCGATGAGTTTCCACCCGTTGCTTCTTGTCCTGCCTTCTGGGGCTTTGGAGAAAAGTTTGACTGCCTCTTCTTTGGGGCCGCCCCTGAGATATTGAAACACTGCTGTCGTGTCATTCCTAGACCTTCTGTTCATCAAACTAGTTTTATCCACTTTCTGCAACCGTTCTTCGTATGTTTGAGCCTCCAGTCCCCCTAATCTTCTTGGTTGCTCTTCTCTGCACTCTTTCTAGACTCTCCACATCTTTTTTACATCGCGGTGACCAAAACTGGATGCAAATATTCCAAGTGTGACCTTACCAAGGCCTTATAAAGTGGAATTAACACTTCACTTGATCTTAGATTTTATCTCTCTGTTGAAGCAACCTAGAACTGTGTTGACTCTTTGGGCAGCTCCTGTAAATGGCTGGCTCATATTTATATGGTTGTCCACTAGGACTCCGAGATCCCTCTCACTCCTATTGAGCCAGGTACCACCTATGCTGTACCTGTGTATTCAGGTTTGTTTGTTTTTTGCCTGAATGTTTCTTCTCACCCCTTTCTTATTAAGACCACAGAGGAGATTGATATCTTCAAGATGAAGATCAGCTCCTTGGAACCATAGATGAAAACCTGCTTGTGCTGTCTTGCAAGCAGACACGAGGTTGCCCACCAAAAGAGCAGTGTTTTATGTTGGTTTTGGTTCAGCTGAACCGGTGCTCTCAGGGAGACAACTCTTTTAAGACTGACAGGGAGACTGTAGGACAGGGGTGTCAAACTCAAGGGGCTCTGTTTTCGCTGGCAGATGGTTGCAGGAGGCTGCTGCAGCCCAAAATGGAGCTTGCAAGAGCTGCGGGCAGCCTGTCCTGCCCCTGTTGGATGCTGATTCCGAGCGGGAGGTCGAACAGCTGACGGGGAGTGGGCGTGTGGCTCTGGTGGTTGTGGAGGAAACTGGGGAAGGGCACAAGCCGGATGGGCATTCAGAGGAAGACCCAGGCCCATCCCGTCTTCATCCGAGGGCATGTAGGGAGGAATGGATAAGAGAGCAACGTGAATCAGTCGCATGGTCTATGGGGGAGGAAGGGAGCCTGATCCCCTTCATGGGCTGCAGCTGGGAGGACTGGTTAAAAGGACAAACTGTGGTGGCAAAGTTGCTGGAAGCAAAATGTGCATTCTTGACAGAGCTTATCTGTGTTTTGGCTTCCTCCCAACTATGGTATCTGGTAGAAGTCTGCAATTCATCATCCTTGCCTGTCGTAGTAATTCCTTCGGTGTGGTTTGCGTTTGCTTTTTAATTTCGAATTAACTTTACTTTGAGTGCAGACTGCATTTTACTCCCTCCGTAAGCTGTTTTCTTTAAGAGTTTGATATCCTGCCGAGGATAATTGGACATTGGGGCCAAGTTGGAGGCATTAAAGGGACTTTCTTCTATTTTTGTGACTTGGTTATTTTTGTGTCACGCCCCTTTGGGTCATCGCACAGCCCTTCCGAGCTCCATTTTTGCCGGCAGAGCCAGGGACGGGCTTCAACATTTTTTAGCAAGGGGCTCTCTCTCTGGTTGCCGGGTGGGTGTGGCCATGGTGGTCATGGCCTAGTCAGCTTCCGGCCCCATAATGGTGTGTGTGTGTGTGTGTGTGTGTGTGTGTGTGTGTGTTTGCTCTCCCTGGGCTCAAGAGGCTCTTTGGAAGTCGGAGATGAGCCTGTTTCCGTCCTCCATGTGCATCCAAAATGGGCCGCATAGGGACTCCCGAGAGAGACGGAGTCGGGTGGGTGGGGCCAGACAAAAGTAGGATATGGTGTCAGGGGTCCGGCACTTACCCCCATTTGAATCATGATTCCCGAGCCAAACTTCCAAAAGGAAGATCGATGTTTCGGTGTTTGAAATACCACTTTATAAGGCCTTGGTAAGGCCACACTCGGAATCCGGCATCCAGTTTTGGTCGCCACGGTGTAAAAAAAAAGATATTGAGACTCTGGAAAGAGGGCAGAGAAGAGCCACAAAGAGGATTAGGGGACTGGAGGCTAAAACATATGAAGAAGGGTTGCGGGGACTGGGGATCACTAGTAACGAAGAGAAGGACCAGAGGAGACAGGAGAGCATCTTCCAGTAGTTGAGGGGCTGCCAGAGACAAAAGGGGGTCCACCTATTCTCCCAAGTACCTGAGGGCAGGGCAAGGAGCAATGGGTGGAGACTCATCAAGGAGAGAAGCAACCTGGAACTCAGGAGAAACTTCCTAACAGGGAGGACAATTCACCAGTGGAACTGCTTGCCACCAGATGTTGTAAGAGCTCCATGACTGGAGTTTTTCAAGAAGGGATTGGACTGCTATTTGTCTGGAATGATATAGGGGTCCTGCTTGAGCAGGGGGTTGGACTAGAAGACCTCCAAGATCCCTTCCAACTCTCTGATTCTATTCTATTCTATTCTATTTCTATTCTATTCTATTCTTATTCTATTTCTATTCCATTCTTATCTATTTCTATTCTATTCTTATTCTATTCTAATTTCTGTTCTATTCTAATTTCTATTCTATTCTAATTTCTATTCTATTCTATTCTATCTATTCTGTTCTATTCTATTCCTATTCTCATTTCTATTCTATTCTATTCTATTCTATTCTATTTCTATTCTATTCTTATTCTATTCTCATTTCTATTCTATTCTATTCTATTCTATTCTATTCTTATTCTATTCTAATTTCTATTCTATTCTATTCTATTCTATTCTATTCTATTCTATTCTATTCTATTCTATTCTATTCTATTCTATTCT